TCTGGTCAAGCTATTAATCTCCAAAAATCTGCTGTATTTTTCAGTAGAAATACACCCCTCCACCTTCAAAGATCAATCTGCAGCTCCTTGAACAATATTACTTCTCACAGGACAACTAAATACTTGGGATTGCCACTGGGGATTGGCAGATCCAAAAAGGAAGTTTTTGCTTATTTAGAGAACTCAGTCAGAGCTAAGCTTACCTCTTGTAAATCTCAGCTTCTTAGCCCTGCTGGCAAGGAAGTCCTTCTCAAAGCTATTATCCAAGCTCTTCCAGTCTACACAATGGCTTGTTTCACCCTGCCAGTGTCAATCTGCTCTGAAATTACAAGTTTATGTGCAAAGTTTTGGTGGAAATCTGGAACTGATCAGGCTAAAGGAATTCATTGGAGAAATTGGAATTTCCTCTCCCTCCCTAAAGAGAAAGGTGGTCTGTCCTTCCTTGACCTCCAGCTTTTCAATAAAGCAATGATCTGTAAACAGCTGTGGAGGATTGCCTAAAATCCAGAGCTTCTAGTAAGCAGAATCCTCAAGGACAGGTACTACCCTAACTCTTCTCTGGTTAATGCCTCTAGAAATCCCAGTGGATCATGGATGTGGAACTGCTGGATGCACAATATACCTTTCTTTGATAAATGGTTAAAAATTGAAATCAGAATGGCATGAACACCAGAATATCTGATCTGAACTGGATTCCTAATCATAGTAGACCCAACCCCTCTCTCATTCCTATTGCTAGAGATCACTTGATCTGGGTTAAAGATTTACTGAATGATGAAGGCACTCACTGGAATGACTGGTTGGTGAGGCATGTTTTTGATGAAGTTGATAGCAATGCAATCCTGAACATATCCTCTCTATCCCCTAGCAGAAATGATAGATTATATTGGGGTTTGAATACAAAGGGTTGCTTTTCTGTTTCCCAGACTTACTCACACCTCATGTCTCTCAAGATCCAAAATTTGGACATCCCAGAATGGAGCTCTTCTGCTATCACCAAGAACTCCATCTCATTCAGACATTGGAAATTGAAGATTGCAGGCAAGGTCAAGCACTTTATCTGGAAATGCATCTCTGGATCCCTGCCTGTAGCTACTAATCTGAACAGGAGAGGCATTGACTTGGACACCACTTGTTCCATCTGTGGTGAAGCTGCTGAATCCTTGGAACACTTGTTTTTTACTTGTAGCAGATCCATCAATTGCTGGAAGCTTAGTCCTCTCCAATGGGATGGCCTTTTATGCTGCACTGACTCCTTTAAGACATGGTGGTATCACATTTGCTCACTGGACAAATCTGAAGTTGCTGAAGCTCGAATCCAACTCACCACTTACTTCTTTGGTTGGTTTGGAAATCCAGAAACTTGTGGCTTTTTCAAAAAACTCTCATCCCAGAGCCCATCCTAGTTAAATTGGCCCTCACTAATTGGATGGAGTTCTCTGCAGCTGCTTCTTCATTTGCAGTTTAGTTCTTTTCCTTGTCTGTCATTTTGGTTTGGTTATTTTCCTTTTAGTTTTTCCCTTGCTAGGCTCTCTGAGCAGTGGCAGGTGTTTTGGTTTTAGTGTTGATTGTTGTTGTTGGTTTGGCTTTGTTGTTCTCTTTCTTTGTGTTGAGGCTCTAGACCGCTTATGGCGTGTCTCTCATTTTTAGTTTTCGGATTGATGTGTTGTAATTCGAACTTTGTTTGCCCTTTTGAGTTTAATATAGTTGAATCTGTCGTTTCGGAAAAAAAAATAGGGGCAAAAACGAAAAAATAACTGTCTCCGGAAAGGTTTGTTTTCGAACACGACATCATTATTTGATGTGGACAACATATATTTCTCGCACCATCACATTTCGTAACAAAATTGTATACATTTAAAGAAGTCGAGAAAAATAAGAATAAATAGGAGCAAAAACGAAAAAATAATCAACGTCTCCAGAAAGGCTTGTTTCGAACACAACATTATTATTTGATGTGGATAACATATATTTCTCGTACCATCGCGTTTCTTAACAAAATTGTATACATTTAAAGAAGTCGAGGAAAATAAGAGTAAATAGGGGCAAAAACATAAAAATAATCAACATCTCCGGAAAGACTTGTTTTCGAACACGACACCATTATTTGATGTGAGTAACATATATTTCTCGCACCATCGCGTTTCTAAACCAAATTGTATACATTTGAAGAAGTCAAATAAAATAAGAGTAAATAGAGGCAAAATGAAAAAATAATCAATATCTCCGGAAAGGCTAGTTTTCGAACACGACACCATTTTTTGATGTGAATAACATATATTTCTCGTACCATCGCATTTCGTAGCAAAATTGTATACAATTAAAGAAGTCGAGGAAAATAAGAGTAAATACGGGCAAAACGAAAAAATAATTAACGTCTCCGGAAAGGCTTGTTTTCAAACACGGCACCATTATTTGATGTGAA